TGTGGGAGTAACGGTGTGACCTACAGATACGATGTTGGTGGTGTGGCCCTTGGATTTGCTGGAACTCTCCAAATTCCTATCTTATTCAAAATCCCAGAGCACAGATCAGCGCAGGTAGCACTGCCAGATTTAGCAAATGAAAATAAAGAATGCCCCATTAAATTTGAATTTCAGAGAAACAAGTGCTTTTCTGGTATAAGTATGTTGGGACATAATTACAGTAGAAAATTATTGATGGTGGCGTCGAAATTCAAATGTAAATGGGCATCATGCATTGTATCTAGCAACACGACAAGTAGGATAAAAGCCAGTGGCATCCTATCTGATGCTATCTCTGGTTCTTTGGTTCAGACCACAATGTGCCAGCCTCAGGGAAGCGAAGCTAGGTTGCTCAGACTTTTGGATGCAGTCAGGTTGTTGAGGTGGTCCTCCTCTCTTGTATCCCAAGTGATGAGTATATTTACTCTCTCCCCTTTCATCTATGTGACTTTAATGTATGTTTCCCTTTATTTGAATGGTTTTGAATGGGAAATAGACATCAAGAAGAATTTCCCCCAGGATGTATGGCTAAGTCTGAATACTTCTTGGCATTTCTATGGTAAACTTGACCCCAGTGGATTAACTGATCCTTTACTGCTCCCGTGGTCTCTGTCATCATGTAAAGCTAATGAAACTGTGACTTTAGGACCTTCAACTTGCGTAGATCTCTTCCAAGACCCTACACCTCGTTTTGTATTCTTGTTCTCAAAATCATCCCCACCCCAAACTGTATAAGTTTCGGCTCCACAAAAGCCTAGATCCTATTCCCCCACACCACAACCTTGTCTAGGGATGAGAAGCCTAGCATAGTGACTCTAGAGAATTGCTGCTTTGGATAAAATGTCCGAATTGGCAAGGTAGATGTTTCACACTTAGCCAAGTTGTGTTTGCTTGTCTTAGGTCCCAAACAACTCAATTCGTTTTGGTTACCGGCTTATTTCTTTTCCCAGTGCTCACAGCTGTCACATGATGCTCTCAGGAACACAGGGCAGGAATTTAATGGTCTAACAGATCCTTATATTTCCTTTTCACTGGACAGCACCTAGTTCAACATCCCTACAACTAACTGTAGTTTATGCTGATTTCACAGCAAAATTCTGGCTCTCTGGGAGGAAGCTTTTATGCTCTTTGGATGGGATCTTTAGATTATCCCTTCATTACTACGTCCCCTAATTTAACAGCTTCTCATTGTGCTTTGCTCCAATACTCGACCCCCCAGTTAGGAGAGTAGACATCTTCCACAGTCTTGCAGAATATCAGTGACATGGACACAAACCCTGGAAGTGGCCCCCCAGTTTCCTCAGACCTCCAAGCGTACTGTGAACCCCAGATGGCCCAGGTCCTGTCTCTGGGGATATTTTCAGTTTCCTGTAGAAAGGGCTGGAAAGAGATTATGTTGGAGTCACCCAGGGCCCCATCCTTGCCTTTCCTCTCTATTTTTAGGTACTCTCATTCCCTTGGTGATCTCATCTTTTTGTCACGGCTTTAAAAAGCATCCCAACACTGCCAATTCCCTAGTTTATATCTGGGAAGCAATTGGAGGGTTTAGGGTAAAGAAGTGATAGGATCCAACACATACTTGAAGAATCAGCTCCGAATTTCTCCCCTGAACTCAAAACTTATCCAACTTCCCACCTGTTCGTCCATAAGCATCTATGAAAATTAATAAAAGGAAACCTCATTGAGAGTGGAGTTGGGAGGCCAGCAGGAGGAGCTCCCAGGTCCAGCCCCATTTGTCAATTGCAGACCCAAAAGAAATAGACCTCGCAGGTGGCCACTACTTCACCATCTCAGCAGAACCAAGGAAGATTTCTTCTGCTCCTAACAGGGGCTTAGCCAATAAGAGACGGTCACAGCTCAGCCAATGAGAAACTACTATACTTCCAACTCCCAGTTTACTCCTTTAAGTTTACAACAGCCCCTCTTAACCGACCCCACCTTTCCTTACAAAAGAGGGTTCCTCCCCTTCTCTGGACTCTGGTTTTGCTATGGTTTGCTGTCGCAGATTGCAGTTCTCAGCTATTCCTGAATAAACCCTTTTTTTTTTTTTTGCTGGTAAAATTACTGACAGTTTTAAGGTTCACACATTTCAGACATAATGTATCCAAAATTTAGCTCCTGATCTTGCCTCCAAATGTATTCTTTCTGTAGTTTTCCATCTCAGTAAATGGCCACTCCATGCTCCTAGATGCTTGGGCCAAAAACCTTGGGGTCGTGTCTGACTCATCTCTTATTCTCCTATCACATGTTCAAACTGTCTAAATAAAAATCTATCTACTAAATACTCTTTGTCTCTACTTTGAAAATATATCCAGAATCCCATCACCTGTCATCAGCATCACTGCAATACCTGGTCAAAGCCACTTCCCCTCTTAACTTGGCTGTAGTAGCCTCCTACCTGGTCTCCCTGCTTTAGTCTGTACTCAGCGTGCCAGCAAGAGTAGTCTTCTCAGCACACAAGTCAGACAGAACGTGCTATCCTCTACCCAAAGACCTCAAGAAACTCCCACATCACTAGGAGTAAAAGCCTATGCCCTATAACACCCCACAAGGTGATACCTCATCGGACCCCTGGCGACTTGCCTGACTTTATCTCCTAATACTTTTCCCATCATTCACTCTGCTCCAGCCATGTTGACCTCCACGCTGCTTTTCACACAAGATGGGCATAGTCCCTATTCAGTGCCTTTCCATTTGCTCTTCTGTCTACCTGGATTGTTTTTCCTTTGGGTTTTCTTCCTTCCTTCCTGCCTCCCTCTCCCTCTCTTTCTTTCTTTCTTCTTTCTTTTTCTTTCTTTCTCTCTTTCCTATTTTCTTTCTTTCCTTTTCTTTTCTTTCTTTCTTTCATTCCTTCTTTCCTTTTTCTTTTCTTCCTTTCTTCCCTCCTTCCTTCCTTCCTCTTTTCTTTCTTTCCTTTTTCTTTTCCCTTCCCTTCCCTTCCCTTCCCTTCCCTTCCCTTCCCTTCCCTTCCCTTCCCTTCCCTTCCCTTTCCTTTCCTTTCCTTTCCTTTCCTCATGCTCCATGAACCCTGTCAGGTATTTTCTCAAATGTTCCTTTGTCAATGATTACCCTATTGAAAATTACAACCTCCCTCCATTCTTTATTCTCTGTTTTAATTTGTCTACATAGCATTCATTACCTCTAACATATAACGCTTATTTTAATTTTTTATTGTGTCTCAATTAAAATATCAGCTCCATGAAATCAGGGATTTTTATCTGTTTTGGTCACTGTTATATTCTCAGCACTTACAATAGTGCCTGGCCAAGGGAGGCACTCGATAAATAATCATTGAATGAATAAAACAGGATAGGAAAGCCTGAAACATTTACTGAATGTGTCTCCTCAGTAATTCTTAAAGGGTTCAAAAGCGATCAACTTCTCTTTCTTTTCTGTTTGTTGTTGTTGTTGTTATCTTGCTCCCCCCCACCCCGCCCCTTGCAGCTAAAACTTAATATCTCTGAGTTAAGCCTTTAAGGGAATCCTAGATAGCTCTTCACAAATCTCATACTGTATTTACTGGACTCCAGGAAGACCTTGCATTTAGTACCAATGATGGGATATCATCACTGGTGACGATAGAGGCATTTCCAGGATCTGTGTTCACTCATATAGGTTTTGTTCACTGAATACATTTCTAAGGGTCTATTTATCAGGGCACAACTTCAGTCCTCCAACAACTAAAGCGCTCATACTGCAAAGCCATTATTTGTATTTCTCCAAATTCCGGTCAAAGGCAACTCTCATTCAATTAAGTTGACTGATAGTGGTAGGTAAATCATCTCAGCAAAACACTTTCCTGGTATCAAATCTTTAGAACCTATTGAAGATGACTGTCTTCAAAAAATTCCCTTTAAAATGTTAACACAGCAATAATAACGATACAGTTGATCCCCAGCCAATACAGGGGTGAGGGGCACCAAACCCTGCCACCCCTGCAGTGGAAAATCTATATATACCTTTTGGCTTCCCACAAACTTAACTATTAATAGCCTACTGTTGACCAGAAGTCTTACCAATACATAAACAACCAATTAACACATATTTCATATGTTATATATATTATATATAGTATTCTTAAAGTAAGCTAAAGAAAAAAAATATGAAGAAAGTCAAGGAAAATAATTATAATACTGTACTATTTATAAAAAAAAAATCAGCATAGAATTCACAACCTGATATGTTGTGCTGTCTTTCTCCACATTTCTGGATTCTGAAGGGTTAGAAGTCCTTTCCCTCCAAGGGGGACACTTCTGCTCGGGGCATGGCAAGAGTCTCATTTCACTATATTCTGTAGCTCCTGTCTGGACGCTTTGGGTTTCTTGTTTTCAGGGACCAATGGACAAGCAGTAGAGTCTTCATCTTGGCAGAGTAGCTGGCTCTGATTAGCAGAGGGGGCAGTGCTGCAGGGAGGAATGTTACGACATTTGGCTGACTCCACTTGGGTGTCTGTTGTACCTTGCTCAGTTCTGATGGTAAATGGACAAGCACAGCAACGCTTGGCTGATGGGGGCATGGTGACTAAGGGCCCAGATCCCTCAGACACGAGGGTCTGGGGCTTGCCACCAGAGAAGCCATAATACCAGCAGAGGTATTGCCTGTGGGGAGAGGAATCTAGACTGGACAATGGGAAAGGGTGATGGTGAGCACCAGCTACAACTCCAAGACCAGGCGTAGGAGCAGAGGCTGTAGTTCATCCCAATGAATCTCCTCTTCCTGGCTTTCCCCAGGAAAAGGTGCTTGGTGGCACAGTGGGAGAACTCCCGGAATGTATATGAAGAAGTGGATCCAAGTGACACAAAGGATAGGCTGTGGCGGACATAGAGATGTGTGCCCACATCTCCTTTCTGGGAGGATGGGTCTCCAGCTGTGGTATCTTCAGCAGACGGCCTCTACCTCTCAGCATCTTCGGGGGCCACCCCTCCCTCAGGTGGCCCAGGAGGGACTGATGGAGAGAGGACTGTAAAGGCCTCTCCATTTTAGCCCTGAGTGGGATAAGTCTGACGAGTTCTGGAGCTCCCTGTGGGGTTGGCTGAGCCCGCCAAGTCTCCAGGTCTGGACCACAACCTGTTATCTCCTTTTCCTCAACCCTGCTCTCCTCCTCCCTTCCACAGGTGTTGATCCCAAGGGAACACCCTGTATACTGAACACTGAGCTTGGTCTCAGGTCTGCAGCTGGACAACCGAACCTACAAAGTGTTATATGACTGGGGGCATTTTTGTGGGATTAAAACTAGTCAAGCGTTATAAAAGCCTGGGAATTTTTTTTATTTTTTTATTTTATTTTTAGCAGATGCAGTATTCTGAGAAAGGGATTAACATGATTGAAAGTGGTGGCCAAGAAATATGATTCTTGTTGCTGTGTTGGAAGGTCTGGAAGTGTAAGAGGCTAAAATATAAAACAGACTGGGAATCTGTTACGGGAGTCTAGGAATGAAATCAACAGGCTAACCGAGGGTTGTAGTTGGAGGGGAAAAAATATACCTAAGTTATTTTTCAAAAGAGAATTGGAAAGATTCGATGTCAACCTGGATGTGAGGATGAAGACAAGCCAGCTAGAATAAATATTGATTCCCAAGTTGAGAGCAGAGGTGTCTAAGCACGCCGCTGATGGGAACAGACAAAAATGGAAAAAGATTTAAGCACGAGGATAATACCTAATTTAAAACATCGACAAGATATTGAAGTGGAAATTTTGTCATGCTGGGAGGCATCTGAATTATCCAGCCATGGGGAGGGACTTCATGTAGCGAGGACAGGCTATAACCAGCAGGAGGGTCTCTCACCCACGAGGGAACGGATGAGGCCTCAGTGGGGCCTCATCTGCAGAGACGCTGGGGTGCCTTCCGTGACTTGCACAAAAGTATTGTATGAACAGGTCGGGGCTCTGATCGTTGTCCTGAAACCAGAGAGAGATGTTGCGATGTATGGATGAATTCGATTGGAGATGGAAAGTTCATGAAGGAGAAAAGGCTAAGTTAGATTTCAGTAGGGTCAGGGATTAGGCAAATCACTTGCACCTTCTGAATCCCATCTTCCTTATATGTGTGGCCGGATGGTTTGCTCCTTTCTACTCCTCAGCGGCGTCCTTATTATACCAAGATATGATAACCAGATGAGATATTTGGCGAGGCAGAGAGTCTTAGAGGTGGAAGCCCTTAGCCTAATATTGACGAGACTTATGTATGAAGTGATTCAGTTTAGCAGTGGCGATGCTTACCTTACAGATGCTTTAAAGGCAGGCCACTTTTCTTCATCCTGTCTTTGCACGTGCAGGATCTAATGATTCCAGCATATCCACAGGGGGAGAAGCCAGAGGGAGAAGCCAGATGGAACGCAGAAGTCTGCATCTCCTTCAAGAGGAAGAAGTGGGGCATTAAGGAGCCAAGACACGAAACGTACAGATCAATAGCGCTGCCTTGTAACCACATATCTAAGGAGTCACCCAGGGCGGTCTGTATGAGTTTGTAAGCACTTTTTCTTTTTTTTTCCTGGTAAGAGTGAGTCTGATGATTTGTCCCCGATCTCAGTCAGACCTAAAAGGCTCTGTAGTTGGGCTGGTTACACAGCAGGACTATGACTGAGTGACCAGCAGGGTATATGAAGTCCAGGCTGGGACTCCCGTTGCGCTCACTGGTGCTGATGCATTTCATGCACACATCAGTGGTCCTCAGATCTAGAAAGAAATGCATCCTGGCTCTGTTCTCTAAGACGGGACAACTTGGAGCACGAGTCTGGCTCCTCCAGAGCTTTTTCGGATGCGTATCTTCACTTCAATGCTACTGCTATATCGTATCCCTTTCCTGTAACCAACCATACTTTCCTAAACATTGTCATTTTGGATCCTGTCTGTTGCTGTAATGAGTGCAAGACAGAGATAATTAAGTTAAGTTGCATAAATCAAATAGCTACTTGTTGTGTCCTGTGCATAACTCATGCCCACAAAGTGTCCATTTTTTAACCCTTTTCCCTCCCTTACAATTTCATCATAACTTATTTGTCTCACTTTTTCTCTGAGAGATTCTAAACCTTCTTGCTAAATGGGTATATATAGGAGCAAGTTCTCTTAAGACGCCCTTTGAATTGTGTTGTTTTGGAAAATGTGGGATAGTACAAAGCAAATTACACTTCTCTGCAATGTCACTGACCAGGTATAATCACTGGGAAGGTATTTTCACAAACATTTCCCGTTTCTGTTCTACGAATAAAATTCTCGTGATTCCCTTCCCCCTCACTTGGCTCATGATTGTATAATTTTTGAGGAGCCATGGTCCCAGTGTGGACTGCAAAGCCTGGTGGACGTATTTATAGCAATCATTGGTTTCTTATTGGAAAACTGAGATGGGTGCCTTTATCATCTTGCTATAGACTCAAAATTGTTTTTGCTACTCTGAACACAAGGTACTGTATCTCACATCTTGGGGTCTGGGGATATACACGATGGGGTTTTCCATAATGGTGCAGACTTTGTCCCAAATAACAAAGGAAACCAATATGTCTGCACATAACACTTCCTGTAGATGATTGTGTTTCATCTGCACAGTGCTCTCATGAGGTTGGCATTGTTATCCTCATGTTACTGATGGAGGAACTGACGCCGGGAGAGGCTAAGTATTCCAGTTGAAGCAGCCCATGACTGTTCCATGACTCTGCATTGGAAGAACAGCCAGTCATTGACATCTTCATGTCCATCATGACCACCTCTGTTGGAGCCACCCTAGTCTGCTGTTCAAGGTACTGCGATAGCTCCGTAACTGCTACCCTTAGCCCTTATATCATGGGCAAAGTGAGCCTTTAAAAAACATAAGGCTGATCATGTCATTCCTCTGCTTAAATCCTTTACTGAAAAATCCCTCAGAGTAAAATCCAAAGTAATTACTCTGTCCTGTAAGACCCTATATGATCTGTTCCTTCTTGCTCCCAACTTTCCCAACCACCCCAGTCTCTGCTCTTACTTCTCCCTCCCCCATCTCTCTCTGTCTTGTTCCCTGGACTCAGTGCCCTTCTTCACACATACCTGATGTGTCTCCACCTCAGGGCCTTTGCACCTGCTGTGCCTACTCTGCCTGGAATCTATCACTTCATTCTTATCCCTGCTTCAATGTCACGTCTTCTTCAAACCCTTCCCTGGCTACCCTATTTATAGTATCATAGACTCCAACTCTCTTTATCCTTTGCCCTGCTTTATTTTTTTCATAGTGTATATTACCACCCGACATGTATTTATCTATTTCTTCATTCATTTATTTTCTCTCTTTTCCCTCAAGAATGTGAGCTGCTCGAGAGTGGAAACTTTGCTTTGTTTATTGTTCTATCTCCAGGTCTAAAGCAGGGTCTGGCCCACTAAGGAAAATTTGATACTGAATGATAGGAAGGAAGGAGCCAGAACTCCAACTCATGTCTTTGTCCCAGGCCCAGGCTGTTTCTTCTTGCATTTTGAATGCCTCAGGGCCCCTTAAAGGGAGGAACATACGGTAAGGACCAGGGTATTGTACATATTTCTATTAATCCCCTTTTCTTGCCTCTTGCTGAGAGTAGAATGAAGTAAATCAAGGCAGACTCATTCCTCAGAAGGCCATGCCAGCATTGGCTCTTCTCCCTTCAGGAAATAAGATAACACACAGAGAAAACAACATCTATAATGATGGATTCATAAGGAAGAGCTGAAGGGACCATTTCTATGGTGAAATAACCTGGCCTTTGAGGTCAGGGGATCATAGCTCTGCCGTCTGACTTGGAACAAGATTTTTGTAACCTTCTTGGGCTTGGTTTTCTCATTTCTACAGTGGGGTTAACGACCTTCCCCGTAGAGTCATAGAAGAGTCACTTTCTAAGAAAAAAAAAAAAAGCCACAGGAACTGTCTTTTCACAGAATCCCAGGAGGATTTGAAGAGAGTCAGATACTCCATCTTTGAGACTGAAGTCACAAAGCATGACTTTACGAGATCAAAAGTAAAAGCTAATTTAGCGCAGTGGGTTAGCAGGTGGTGGGAGGGCTTTTAGCAGACTAATGGCTTTAGTATGTGGTGGCACCAGTGGTACAGATTTTGTCCCTAAATGGCTGGTCCCAGCAACAAGATGGCAGCAAGGGGAATCCACACAATTTCAGAGGCAATGAAGGTGGCAGGCACCACCTTCACAAATGTCTCCATTTCCGTCTCCATACCCAACCCCCCGCCCCCTTCTCCTCTCCTACCCCCCCTTCTCCCCCATCCCCACCTTCCCCTCTCCACTTCCTCCCCCATCCCCTCCTTCTCCCTTACTCCTCCCTCCTCCTTCATGTAGGTATGAGATTCACTCTCCAGGACTTAGAATGTATTGGTGGGGATATAGACCTAATAAATCAATAACAATATTTTAAATAAAGCATTAAGCACATACATAGCATTTGCTATAGAGACTGTCTCATTTAATTGTTATTTAATCTCCCTTAAAGAAAGTATGTTATTCTCTATTGGCCTGGGAAGAAATGAGGCCAAGAAGGGAGAATAACTTGTTCAAGGCCCTGCAACTCATATGTGATAGTGTCAGGACCTGAAACTAGGCCTCTGTGGCTCAGACACTTGTTCTAAAGTCCTGCACATTTGATGGGTGGGATCAATGGGTGGTGACTGGCCATGGCAGGGGCTGGGGCTGTGAGGAGAGGTGGTCTAGAATAATGTCTAGGTTCCTGATTTGGGTGGTCTGTTGGACAGTTAGAGGTGCCTTACCCAGGATAGGGACACACTGACTCCTGTAAATAGTTCCAGCCTCTAATTAGCATCGAGATCATTTTTTACCTTAAAAACGAGATGCTGGCCAGAGTTACAGGAATTCTTGTTTTTTTTTTTGTTTGTTTGTTTTTGTTTTTTTTTCAACGTTTATTTATCTTTGGGACAGAGAGAGACAGAGCATGAACGGGGGAGGGGCAGAGAGAGAGGGAGACACAGAATCGGAAACAGGCTCCAGGCTCTGAGCCATCAGCCCAGAGCCCGACGCGGGGCTCGAACCCACGGACCGCGAGATCGTGACCTGAGCCGAAGTCGGACACTTAACCGACTGCGCCACCCAGGCGCCCCAGGAATTCTTGTTTTAATCCTTCACTTGGTTTTGCCTACAATAGACTAGCTAAATTGTGACCAAGAGACCTCCTATTAATTTGAAGCTGTCTTGAACGCAAAAGAGTCAAGCTATTAAACTAATGAATGAGCCGCGTTCCTGTTACCTTTGGACTCATTCCCCCAGAGCCTTTTTCCCCAACGGTCAGCAGGTATCATGTTATGGCAGTGAAAGCTATTAGGTAGTGCTTGCAGTCTGACAAGTAGAAAAGTCAAGCATGCTGGAGGAGCCCTGGCCTATTAAGGAGAGAGAAGTCTGGTTCTGATTACTGATAATTATAGATAAGCTGGAGCCGACAGCCATTTTCTGACCACAAACTCAAATCAATCAATTAAAAACTGCATGTAGCTGTACCACGGCTAATCAGTCCCAGGCACTTCAGGATGATCCATTAAGTCCTACCTCGACCATGTCATGGTTGCTGTGTTCCATCTGCTACTCCGACAGTAGATCAAATACACACCTCATTTTATACTCTCCGACTAATCGAGAATGCTGTTAACAGTGTCAGCCTTCCATCCACTTACTGAAATCACCCGCCTTGTACAAGAAGTTCAGGGATTGAGTCATCATTTCCTTTTCTGAAGCCAGGCATGCAAACCTAAGAAAAATGATTACTAGCAAGGAAAAGCAATCGTTGCTGAAGCCTTTGGCTAATTGTGTTGCCCACTTACCGAAAGAGATGAGGGCAGGGCTTCCAGAGGTGGGTGGCTGTGGCAGTGTGGGACACAGAAGGTAGTTGCACAAAGAGGAGATATTTGGGGGAATGAGGTTTAGCTTCAAAATAGGGCATGTGGAAGAGGGTAATTCTTGGTTACTCCAGGTGCGTGGATTCCCAAGGAAGCGGACTTCAATACAATCTAATGAGGAAGGCTTCTATTCAGAGGTTGCAAACCAGTAGTCTGTAAGTTAAAAACCACTAGCAGATGTGGCTTGTTGGACCCCCACAGTGTTTAAGACAAAATGTGAATTTGTTGCCGACATTTAGGATCAAGGAATTGAACAAGATCTTAGATCGATGGCTTCTTGTTGTTGTTGTTGTTGTTGAAAATGTGAAAGATTCAGCAACACTGAGCCCCAACTCCCTCCCACCCCCAGCCCCAGCTGGAGGCTGTTTCCTTTGGAAAGAACTTGTTCTTTCCAGCTCACCACATTCCCCACAACTTTCTTTGGACCTACCTCAGTCTCCTTCACTCATTTATGTTACTTCCTGGCTCTTGCAGCTTTTTTGAGATCGTGATTCTTCCTGATGACTTAAGCCCCTTGAGAGTGGAGATCACTCTGCCCTTCAAGGTGCTCAGACAGAGACTGGAAGAGCACCTGCTGAGGATCGAGCAGATAGTGTATTCATGGCAAAAGCAAGTGGGCCCCTGGTCTGGGCCCTGTTTTTTTTTTTAAGAGGGCCCTGTCTTGGTTCTCCTCTGATTGTGTCCCACCCATGGGCATAGGGGTCCATGTTATCCGAGGGACAAGTTCTCCTGGACCTCCAGACATTCACTCCTCACTCCAGACACCCAAGGTTACCAGATGCTTCCCCTTGTTTGTCCTCCTGAGGATGGGCTGTGCTGCTGGTGTATTGACTCCTAGGTGTGTGAGATGAGCAAGTGAAGGCTGTTCAGTAGGAAGGACATATTTAGTGCTTAGACATGTGGTGTTTTGTGTCCACAGACATGCATGGGAGACCTCTTGCAATGCAGGGCAGGATTCAAGGTGGGTAAAGAAAGTGAGCTGGGGGCCTAGGTACTTCTTCCCAGGGTTTATCCTGAGCTCATATTTAAAATGCTATGTCCCCCAAATTCTCTCATATTCCAGCAATGGCATGAATCCTGTGCCTTGGAAAACACTGGATAGAAGGCGGTCTCAAGAGGAGTAAGTCCACACCACTCTAAAATATGATAGCTTTTCTTGGCAAGAAAAAAAGAAGAAGCATTATGTCTTAGAGTACCTCCAGGCCACTTAGATTACTTCTTTTCCTATTTATGAAGTATTAAGTCATAGGATGTGGTACCGCCCTGACTGTTCTGGAACATCTGGCCTTTAAACCCAGACAGCATGGTATTCTCTTTTGAGCATTACTGCTCAATTCTCATAGCTTTCCTCTACTTTATCTGATTATGGGCACCCAGGTAATGCCTATTTTCCTGCTTGATCTAACTCCCTTTGCTGGGACTCCCCACTCTTATGATCATGAGTTTTTTGTTCTAGGACAAGAAGAACCATTTGCCAACGCAGCCTGGAATTTACAGGGTTCCCACTGCTCCTTGTCTTTAAAGAGGCAACCAAGCCCATGACTCCCAGCAGTTTGCCAGATGAAAATGGTTTTCTCGTCCAAAGGCCATTGTGGAGCTGTGGTGTTACCATACCACACGCTACAGTAAGGGCACTGAATTTTGGTGACTTTTGCATCACCCTTCAGGTTATAATAAGAACCACATTATCCTCCAAGTGAAAACAACAACAGCAGACTGGTCAGTTGGGCAGATCTGATTAAATTTGTTTTCATCATATTTAACTTCAAGCAAATCGATGAGATGAATAAATTGGCCAGGTGCTGATTTAGTCAAATCCCGTCAAACTGGTTGGCCTTACAAACAGCCATGGGCTATCAAGGTTACACCATAGCCTACAACTGCCAGAGAGGAGAGCCATGCTCCCAGTGTTCAAAAGTGCCCCATGTCAACACTTTTCCTTTATCTCCGATCATTTTGGCTGTGCTTAAAATCACTACACCATCAAGTAAACTTCAATATTTGGCCACAAATCACAGAGTTGTAGAAACGTTAATAGCAAATGGACTATCATCACTTTCCATAATGAGAGTAATAGAAAACAGATATCTAAAAGTCATTTCTTTGATTGCCAACTTATTCTTGCCGTCTAATTCGACCTTAAGAAGAAAATGCAATCCTGCCTATGGCAGTATTGGCTTATTTGCTCGTTGAAAGCATTGAAACTTGTCACGAATACATAATTTGTGTTCGGGCGTTTCCCACAAGGCACTCCTGAAGGAGACATTTTTTTTCCCACTCAAAAATTAAAAACAAACAAACAACAACAACGATGTTTTGCTATTATTTTCTTTGTTCACTATCATTCCAAAAAATGACGTATTTAGAAAATATGTTAGAAATCACTCCAAGTGTCATCATATTATTTTGCAGAGGCAGGAAATTACTCTAAAAATTACAGAAGGAAGTGTGCTTCCATTCCTCTTAGTTTATCAATTCTCAACCTGGGCTGCACGTTGGAATCATCTGGAAAGTTAAAAAAAAAAAAAATACCTATCCCTGGGTTTCCAACCCAGAAAGACTGACTTTATGCGTCTGGGTGTGGCATGGGCATTAGCAGTTTTAAGAGCTCCCCAAGTGATTCTAATGTTCAGCTACATTTGAGAACCCCTGACCTAGTAGAGTCTGGTGATTCTCAAACTTGAAAATGCATGCGGATCTCCTGGAGAGCTTGTTAAAACACAGATTGCTGGTCTGCACGCCTAGAGATTCTGATTCTCCAGGTCTGGGGTGGGGCTCAGTCTCTATCAAGGTGATACTGGTGATGATCACATCTTGAATAGCACCTGGGTAGCTCATTTGTCTCTCCTGCAGGCAGAGCGGACAAAGACCCTTGAGGCAAAGCGGGTTGTCAAATGTGTCCACCAGAGTCTCTTAAAGGGACTTTCTTAAACCCTATAAGGGACACATCAGAAATGCTAGATCGTACTGGAGGAGGTGCCAAGCCAGTAAACAAACGCCTGAAACCCCGTGGGATCGTCTTAATAACTGGAATGTCAACACAAAGCTTAATTTATGTAGGAAGAAAACTGGCGTCAACAAAAAGAGAAAATCTGATTACACAGACTAACTTTTCAAATTGCTTTCTAATCCAATGACCACTAGAAACAGAGGAAGGAAACAGGATAAGGAGTGACACAAGAAGGAAATCTTCGTTATACAACCACATGCGAATGGTTTCTAGGTGTCTCCATGCTTGGATTTTTGGATCTAAATAGGTGTCAGCTTGATTTTTGTTTGAGAGCGTTAGTTTTATGACCTGATAGGCAGACCGACCATCTCAGTTTGTCCAGGACTTCCTCTTTATAGTACCGAAAGACCTGCATTCTGGAAAATCCCCGGCTCTTGCCCACTGGGGCAGTTGGACAACCTTAAGACGAGCAAGAAATTTAATCGCTCTGTAGCTCATTCTCTTTGTTATAACATGTGGATGACAATACTTACCTCGGGGAGTTGCTGAGATGATTAAAAGCCATAAAGTGTGAAGCACCCTGCACAAACCTGGCTTAGAGGAGAAAGCGAAAAATAGTGGCTTCAAGTAATAACTTTTTCCTGGCTCTGAAAGTTTGGAATGGGAGACTCCTTACACCAAAAATCCGTGCCAGTTGCTTTAGGAAGTACCTATTTTGGTCTGATGGAGTGTGTGGTGATGACAAGGGAGAGCAGTTTTCTAGACTGAGCGAGTGTTCGGAGCATATTTGCTAGTCGATACTCAAAGTCTTCCAGTGATAACTTTTGGTTCTGTATTGGATGAGACATGTACTAAACCTAAAGTTTAACTTTATAGGAGTTCTCTGAGAACTGTGCACACGGTTGCCTACTGTGAGAAAACCCGGTGGCAGAATTCTGACTCAGAGCAGGTGGATTTGGGGACGTTTGTTCACATTACGAGGATCCTCCTTTCACTCATGACGGGGTCTGTTACACTTAGCGACTTGCTCCAGTAGCAGCTTTCTGTGCTGATGGGAATACTCTGTGTCTGTGCTGTCCAGCGTGGTAGCCACTGACCACATGAGACTATCTTTTTTTAAGTTTATTTATGCATTTGGAGAAAAACAGAGACAATACGAGCAGGGGAGAGGCAGAGAGAAGGAGAGAGAGAATCCCAAGCAGGCTCCGCACTGCCAGCACAGAGCCCGACTCCGGGCTTGAACTCATGAACCGTGAGATCATGACCTGAGCCGAAACCAAGAGTCAGATGCTTAACCTACTGAGCCACCCAGGCGCTCCCCCCACGTGTGACTATTGAGCGTTTATTTGAACGTGGCTGTGGCAACTGAGGAATGACATTTTTAATTTCATTTAGTTTTAATTCATGTAAATTGGAACTGCCTTCCTGGGGTGATCAGTGGCTGTATGGGAGGGAGGGGTGGCTCTGGTACATTTGACAGAGCTTACTGTTGATGATTAAAGAGAAGTTGAAAGGTAGAGACACTGATGATTACATGTAAATTAGACTGGAGACTGAGTTGTTTCTGACATAGAATTCAATTGACAAGCATTTATCGAGCAACAGAATACTAGGGAGTGACTTTTCAGAGTGACTACAGCGTAACCAGGAGCTTCGGTAAAGGACATCTAGAAGAGGCTGGAAGGCATGGGTCTGAGTGCCAGTGGTGGGTCTAGTCTGACCTAACCTGCTGTGTCTCCTTGGGCAAACCGCTCACCGGCACTGGGCCATTCTTCTCTGAGGTCCTTTAAAACGCCAACACCTCTTGAAAAGAAGAGCACCTATGCGTTGTAACTCACTCTTTCTTGGTGGGCACATCTCAAAGCCATTCTGATTCTAGCATTGTTGAAAAACTGGGGAAGGAGGGAAGCTTACGGTCACAAAAACCTTGGCTCTGCAGAGAATCTGGCCTACCACAATTGAATTTCACAAATAGTCTTTATCGACTATGAACACAGTCCCATAAAGGATGGATAAAATAAATTCTCTGCTTTTTGATTGCTTGTCACCTGGTTGGGGAGGGAGGGAAGACAACTCACTATGACCCAGGGCAGGAGGAAATGAGTCTGTATGAATATCCATACAAACAATGTGGGGAGGGGCCATTAAGGAAGACAGTTCTTCTTTCACAGGGATGTGTGCAACGTGGGTGGCCTATGGCTACTCAGGTCCGAGAGAAGAGTCTGGCGCCTTCAACGGGGTGAGGAATTAGAGGCGTGACCAAACCCGTTGGTTTAAGGGCACACAGCATTTTTGTGCACGGTAACTGTTTTTACTTTTCGTCACGCTGACGCAATTCCAAATGTATACTTCTAGAGACTAGCATGATCGTTTCTGCTCCTTCTCTCATTCCATTACACGGCTCCTTTTGTTTACTGTGGACAATTCTACCGTATTTTCCGCGATTATAAACTT